AAGGAAAATGGCACTAGGGTAGCTACAAGAGCAGAATACACATGTTTCCAGTAGTACATATTTAATTAACTGATTTCGTTTAATTAACAAGAGCCAAGCGAGTACATGTCGGTATTTGTTCTTCGGGAAGATTCCTTAACACCTGCAACCTGCAGAAATATCTACCTCCTGGAGCAGATAACCAGTTTTCACCAGCTTGAGGCTATGGTGGTCATGCCAGCTCATTGGGTCAACCAGAGTTCAGCTCAGGGTATTCCTTAAAAGTTGCCTATCTCCTGCTTTTCTCTGCACGCAATCCGCTTCCTCTCACTTTACATTTTCCCTTTTATTGACCATGCTTCCTTCACGCTCACCGGGTTGAGATGGTATCTCAGTACTTTTTTGTCAATTTATTCTTGATCTGTAGGGGATCGGTGTTATTCGCAATTATTCCAATATTCCCCACTCATAATATCAGAACCGAGCGAGGTCAGACGCCCGTCTGGATGGGCCCTTTGAGCCACCATATCTTCACAGTAAGGGACGCGGTGGCTCAGGGGCTAAGACGCTGAGCTTGTCGATCGAAAGGTTGGCAGTTCAGCGGTTCGAATCCCTAGTGCTGCGTATAACGGGCTCCCGTTACTTGTCCCAGCTTCTGCCAACCTAACAGTTCGAAAGCACATTAAAAAAATGCAAGTAGAAAAATAGGGACCACTTTTGGTGGGAAGGGAACAGCATCCCGTGCGCCTTTGGCGTTGAGTCATGTCAGCTGCATGACCACGGAGACGTCTTCGGACAGCGCTGGCTCTTCAGCTTTGAAACGGAGATGAGCACCGCCCCGCTAGAGTCAGGAACGACTAGCACATATGTGCGATGGGAACCTTTACCTTTATCTTCACAGTGCGTGTAGCCATGAGGCAAGCGAGAAACAAAACAGTTCTATAAATCTTTTCATTAAGACCCTTTTATATCTATTCTAAAAAAACAAAAGCCAGCAGAGAATATCCTTGCAAGCAAAATCTGGTTAAGGAAGGCAAGAGTGCTCCTATTAGTCACAAATCAGCGGGGATATTGACTTCCCACGTCTCTGTTCCTCTTGCAAAAGTTATCTGAATGGCCGGTACATGCCCTAAAGTGCTGTGATATGCAGAAAAATTGAGGGTGAGATCTGAGGGGGGTCCCCCCCATGTATTTCTTGGTTGCGTTGGGGGGCGCACTTTCCACATGGATGCTGCATTCCTGCAGACTTGCGGCAAACGGCAATTTCTGACTGCCTTCAAAGGTGGTGGCTTCCTCCTGGAACACTTTTTGTGGGATACAGGAGGAGGAGCCAGTCTGTCCTTGGAGTTGTTGTCCTAGCTCTTATTGAGCCCAACGTTTTGTACAGTGCCCTGCTTAGTTGCAGAAAGTGATGGGAGGCAATCTGCGTACTGATAATTAAATTGATGGCTCCACAGCTTAAATTAGGATTGAAAAGGGGAATGGTGGTAAAACAGAATTGAAATTAGGCTTGGGGGAGAGAGTGCTGAATCTTAAATATCAAACTGAATAAAACGAGAGTTTGTAGCCATCTGTAATGCAAAGGAGAGCAACCAGGATGATTAGGGGACCGGAGACTAAAATATATGAAGAACGGTTGCAGGAACTGGGCCTGGCTAGTCTAGTGAAGAGGAGGACCAGGAGAGACGTGATAGCAGCCTTCCAATATTTGAAGGGCTGACACAGAGAGGAGGGGGGGTCAAACTATTTTCCAAACCACCGGAAGACCAGACAAGGAATAATGGATGGAAACTGACCAAGGAGAGATTCAAGCTAGAAATGAGGAGGAACTTTCTGACAGTGAGAACAATCAATCAATCCATGGAACAGAAGTTGCCTTCGGAAGTTGTGGGAGCTTCATCCCTTGAGACTTTCAAGAAAAGATTGGACTGCCATTTGTCAGAAATTGTGTAGGGTTTCCTGCTTGAGTGTGTGGGGGGGTTGGACTAGATGACCTACAAGGTCCCTTCCAACTCAGTTAATCTGTAGTGGTTTGAAGTATATTTTTCAAGATGGCAGTAGGACGATTTTCATTGAGAATCTTAAGTTTCCTTCCCCTGCCTTGATACTCTTCCCTGCACCAAAAAAGAGAAGGATAGAGATTTTTCCATTAAGACATTCATCCCCATATCAACTCCCAAGAAATTGCTTGGGCAGGTAATTGCGGTTTTAATCAGTGTTTCTCTCCTAGAGTCTTTGTATTGTGAGAGATGGGTGGCTAAATCGTTTAAATAACTCTGTGAGATGCACTCAGCTTTGGGAATCGGTAAAATGACAAGGTAATGAATATTCACAGTTTGACTTCCCTTGTAGGCAACCTGTGTGAATCTGCAATCCACTCCCCTCGATTTTCCATCCAGCTTGCTAAAGCCGCTGGCTTTCTTCTGTCTCCTGCCTGCTGTGTTTTCCTCCCTTTAGTTAACAACAGCAGGTGACTTTTGCCCACGTTCAATCCTCTGATCCTCTTGCAGCTCGCGGGTTGTGAGGCTCTGTTTTTGCCTGCCCGTATTTTCTTTAGAATCCACTCGTTTCAAATTTGTTGAGCCAAACAAATGCCCGTCAGCTTTCTAGTTCTGTTTCTCAACTCCAGGGTTACACGATCCCCGTGAAGCGATACACTTATCAGCTCAGTTGGGGAGGGGAAATCACATCGTGGAAATCCCAGCAAGAGATCTGAGAATTGGCCAGGTAGCTGTGTCTCAGACAAATAACCAAGCTGGGGCTTGTTCCTCTTGGCATTAAGACAGGGCACACTGCTTAACAGGATTTTTTTTTCTAACTCTAAATGAGCGTATGTAGACTAATTTGTAGCCTGGCTTTCCCCGAGATAGAACTGCTTATCGGACTTGCCATCTTCTCCTCCCTCTAGGTTGGCATTTACTGTGGGATTAAAACCTGCAAGTCATTTTGCGGGCTGTTTGCAAACAGGTACGGTCATGCACTGAACGAATGTTTGCGCTGCTGTGCGAAATATCAGGTGCTGCGTGAAAAGAAATCCATCCGGCAGGGCCCAGAGCATGCATTGTAGACAGACAGGTCCAAGGAAGGAGAGAGTGCAGCAATTAAACCTATCTGGATTGTTCTGAGGACGGAGCTCTGCCTCCGTGGTGTTGTGGTCCGCTGGGCGGCCTGCGGAGCTGGCAGCGGAGTCGGACAGTGAGGAGGCTGGGGAGGACTATGGGCCAGTCCTGGAGTCTGGGGAAAGCTCGGACGAGGGCTCTGCATCAGAGGCAGAGAGGGGGCCAGGGCCATCTGGGAGTTATGTGCTGCCTCTGGAGCCTCCAGAGTCGGACATCAGCGAGGCAGAGGAACAGGGGGAGCCTGTTCCCAGTGCGTGCATGCGCAGAATTGCCAGAAGGCAAGAGCAGTTAAAACAAAAGGGACGACTCGGGAGTAGGGCTTGGAGATGATTGGCCCCTCCCATAAGACTTAAAAGAGGAGCAAAGGCACGTGAGCTTTTGCAGGAAGCAACATTGTTAATTCTGTGCAGTTTAAAGTCTGAAGCTCTATTTGATTCTGTGTTCCATGTGGCCTTGCAAAGCTAATTGCCAGTTAGGTCTTTGGCAGCATGTCAAGGGAGATAAAGGTGGGTGTTTATCAGCCTTATCCCAAAGGACTGTGGCAGACTTCTGTCAGACTCTTTACAAACTATTTGGGATTCATCTGTGAATGAACAGATTGAGAATGAACAGGCTGTGAATGACAGAATTCACAGCCGTTGAAATAAAAAGAGGGGTTTTGAGACTCATTGTGTGCTTTTACTGTATCAGGAAGCCTAAGTCAGAACACATGGGACCATGATAATTTCAGGCTGAGTTAAAACACGGAGCTTGCTTGTTGCATACGAGTACATAGGGATGTTCAGAGAGATTAATTCCCCGCCCCCATTTTTGTAGTGCTCCATAGGAGGATCTTCTTGATCCCTTCGCACCCATCAAGGAAAGCGCCTTTTCTCTGTTGCACGTAAAACAACAGAAATCTAAACTTGAATATTCAGAAAGGCGAACCAAAACGAGCGAATATGGCTGGGAAATTGATGAAGAAATACGGCTGCCCGGTGAGCTCCTTTTACTTCCAAACTAGACTTTGTGGCTTAGACCTGCTGGTTTCCGTGGTTATATATATATATATATATATTAAAAAACAGTAGTTAGATCATACTTCGGAGATCAAATTTCTAATTCCTTTGGAAATCGGATGAGGAGGAAGTCATGGCCACATTAGCAAAGGTTGCTGTCCTTTATAGAATAGAATAGAATAACAGAGTTGGAAGGGATCTTGGAGGTCTTCTAGTCCAACCTCCTGCCTTGGCAGGAAATCCTACACCACTTCAGACAAATGGTTATCCAACATCTTCTTTAAAACTTCCAGTGTTGGAGCATTCACAACTTCTGGAGGCAAGTTGTTCCACGGATTAATTGTTCTCACTGCCAGGAAATTTCTCCTTAGTCCTAAATTGCTTCTCTCCTTGATTAGTTTCCACCCATTGCTTCTTGTCCTGCCCTCAGGTGCTTTGGACAATAGCTTGACTCCCTCTTCTTTATGGCAGCCCCTGAGATATTGGAACACTGCTATCATGTCTCCGTTCTTCATGTTTTAGCCTCCAGTCCCCTAATCATCTTTGTTGCTTCTCTCTGCACTCTTTCTAGAGTCTCCACATCCTTTTAACATTGTGGCGACCAAAACTGAATGCAGGATTCCAAGTGTGGCCTTACCAAGGCCTTATAAAGTGGTATTAACACTTTACGTGATCTTGATTCTATTTTTCTGTTTATGCAGCCTAGAACTGTGTTGGCCTTTTTGGCAGCTGCTGCACATTGCTGGCTCATATTTAAATAGTTGTCCACCTTATTATGTGGTGCATCGTACCTTGCTTTGGTCAGTCCCAAACCTTCTGTCCTTCATTAGCCATCTGAATTCTACTATTGGTATTTTCCCATTCCACACCGTTCATTTCTTCCAACTCACATTAACACATCGGAAAAGAATAAAAACATTTTATTTAAGCTAGAGAATTATTTTATGCCCAAACAAAAGTAAAATTCTTTTTTTAAAAAAAATAGGCATGTTTAATATTGAAACAGTTCTTTTTTCTTTTTTTTTAAAAAAAGTAATAAATATAAAAATAAATTAACATTAATAATGAAATATTGTTATGAAGGAAGAATAACTGTCCAGAAGTCAAGAGTGCATTTACGAAGCAGTTTGGAAGGAAGGGTGAATAAATAACAATAAGCTGACTTGCGGAAGAGTTGGTCTCTGGATTACTCTTGGCAAACCACCGTTAAGGTGAGGCTTGAGCAGAGTCTGTGTAAAGCCTCTTGGAAGTGCCAGATTAGGTTCATTCAAGAATAAGAGAGTAAAAAATATTGAAGAAAAACTCTTCGATGCCCAAAGAGCAGCATAAATTAAGAACAGAACATGCAACAGTCCTTCTAAATGTGCCTGGTGCTAATCGAATTAAAACTAAAGCCTAGCTTCTTATATAAGCTATAATTATAGACTCCTCCACTTTTAATGTCAAAGAAAAAGACCCTAGTGCCGTGATGGCGAATCTGTGGCATGCGGAACCACATCGGTGGGCACCTGAGCTTAGCTCTGGTGCCTGATTTTCGGGCCTTCTGGGCCCACCAGAAGTCGGGAAACAGGCTGTTTCCGGCCTCTAGAGGGCCTCCGGGGGTGGGTGAGGAAGGCCCGTTTTTCGCTCTCCCCAGGCTCCAGAGCCTTTCTAGGAGCCTGGGGAGGGCAAAAACAGCCTTCCCTACCCCCCCAGAGGCCGGAAATGAAGTCGGCAAAGGCAAACGGGCTGTTTCTGGCCTCCGGAGGGCCTCTGGGGGGGGGGAGGCCGTTTTCGCCCTCCCCAGGCTCCTAGAAAGCCTCTGGGGCCTGGGGAGGGTGAAAAACGGGCCTACCGGGCCCACCGTGTCATTGTGTGCCAAAAGCGGGGGGGGGGGGGGGGCACGCGCGCATGCATATGGGGGTGTGGCACATAGAATTATGCGTGTGGGCACGCGTGCACTCCCCCGCTTTTGGCACGTAATGGCAAAAAGGTTAGCCATCACTGCCCTAGGATATTTGAATGTGAAAAGGAGGAGCAGGCTTTTGTTTTAGAAAAACAAACAAACTCAGGAAAGGAGTGTGGCACGCCGACGATCTCAAATTGCAGTCGTCAAGGATTTCGGAGGCATAATGGAGAAAGGAGATGGAAGAAGGGGTGTGTGGGAGCGGGAGGGGTTTATAAACATTCAGTAGCCCGAGGGTCTTTCCAGGCAAGACTCGTCAGGCTTGGCAGGTTTGAGGAAGTAAGGCACCATCCTGGACACTTCATGAAATGGCACACTGGCGATTTCAACCGATTCATCAGAAAAACAGGCAATAAATACGAGGCTGTGAAGCGAGGGGGGGCACTTAAACTGCCGGCATCTTTGACGAGGAGAGGTCAACGTCGATGCTCCACTTCAAGTATATACCAGGAAGTCTTGTTTTGCGAATGGTTCTAGGCTGAGCAAGCAAAGAACGGGTAGCCGCCGAGGGGCAACTGAGCTACCCATACCGGATACCATTTCTCCGGCTCAAATTGGAATGCCAATGGTGGACACTTGTTCTTTCAGTCCTAGAAGGCTGTAGGCAATTCGCTTCTGGTGTCCTGGTAGACGCACGCCAATTCTCTTGATGTCCCTGGGGACGTGAAGAAGAGACGAAAAGAATTAGTGGGGAATCTTGCTGTTTCAGAGACATTAGGTAGCTTCGGCTTCTTTCCTTTAAAATAGCCAACCGCAATATGTAATAATTGGGTTTTTTTTTTTTTTTTTAAGTATATTATAGCCTCTGTGCAGTGGGATTGTAAACTCCCTTACAGAGATCTCAAAAGGCCAGATATCCCGCTGCATTTAATAAGCCTCTCTTGCTTTTCTGGCGGCATAAAATGACTTAATTATAGGGTAGGTCTTTGGAGCCCTTCGCTCCTAAGAAGACAGCGGGCAGAGCAAATGGAATTTGCTGTACTGCATATTTTTTGGAGGAGGGGTGAGGAGTGGGGAGAGAGTCATAGTTTTATCCTCCTTTATTGCGAACGCATGACATTCTCGTACATAGCCACCTCTGAGCGAATTTGATAAAGGCAAATGAAATATAAATTCATCAGGGAAGGGAACACAAATGGAAAAACGAAGCATACAAATGCGTAATTTTCCAGGCTACGTCCACGTGAATGTCTATGGAGATTCTCAAGTCACCCAGGTCACAGATGTCCCATGGATTGCAAAAGCGAACCATGCGAACCAAGAAAGAAAAATGGCATTAAGTGTCCCCGGAATGGGTTTGTTAAGAAAGGTATCGTATTCCATCTACGCATAACTTTTGCACAATGTGCATTTCCTACTTCTTGCAAAAAGGTTATCATTAATGGGTGAGAGAAGGTCTAGTTTTCTGTTTGAAAAGCAGGGCAAAGGGGATGTCCTTAGGAGGATGCTAAGACAAATCTTTTAGAAGAATGATGTATTTAATTTTTTGGACTAGAAGACGCACTTTTTTGTCTCCTATAAAGTGGTGAAAATGTCTGTGCGTCTTATAGACCGAATATTGTCGAAGCCCCGCCCACCCACCGGCCGGTTTTTTTGTCGACGCATGCCCCATTTTTGGGCCTTTTTCAGCCCATTTTGGGGGCTTTTTTCGGCCCACTCTCAAGGCTTTTTTTTTAGCCAATTTTGTTGGGAAAAACTGCCTTTAAAAAGCCTTTAAATTGGGCCGAAAAAAGCCTTGAAAATGAGCCAAAAAAGCTTCGAAAACGGGCTGAAAAAAGCCTCAAAAATGGGCCCAAAAGCCTCGAAAAGGGGCTGAAAAAAGCCTCAAAATGGGCCGTAAATGCTAAAAAAAAAAAAAAAAAGCCACACTCACTCGTTGGTCATCTGCACCACCTTCTCAATGACGTTATACCCAGCCTCTAGGAAGTGCTCTGTGTACTGGTGCATTTTGATGGACTCCAGCCACTCTGCCACAGTTCGGAAAGGAACCCCCTCTGAGCCGCTGGTGCTGGGTAAACGGATGGAAATCCTTCAAAGACGACAAAAAAAAAAAAAAAAACATGGCCCGCAGCTCTTTAGAACCAAATAATTTCTAAAATAGGGCTGGGGATTTGGGGAACTAAACGTGGCATTCTTATTTCTGGGCCTGTTCTTACATACATTCTTCTAGGTCAGGGGTCGGCAATCTTAAACCAGAGGTGAAATCCAGCAGGTTCTGACAGGTTCTGGAGAGCTGGTAGCGGAAATTTTGAGCAGTTCGGAGAACCAGCAAATACCACCTCTGGCTGGCCCCAGAGTGGGACGGTAATGGAGATTTTGCAATATCCTTCTCCCAGGAGTGGGGAGGGAATGGGGATTTTGCAATATTCTTCCCCTGCCACGCCCACCGAGCCACACCCTCAGAACCGGTAGTAAAAAAATTTGAATTTCATCACTGCTTTAAACCCTCAAAGAGCCACAAAGGTCCTAACGGGAAGCCCCCCGTTCAATTCTGGAGCCAACCAGAAGTCCGGTTCCCTCACCATAGAGTCTCTTCCTAGTGCGGTGTCCTTTTTCCTCTACCTGTCCTAACCAAAAGCCCTATCAATTGTGGAGCCGACCGGAAAACCCGCCCCTTGCCATAAAGTCTCCTCCTGGCACGCCATGCTTCTCCCCCCCCCCAACCAGAAGCTCAGGGGTGAAATCCAGCAGGTTCTGACAGGTTCTGGAGAACCGGTAGCGGAAATTTTGAGTAGTTCCGAGAACCGGCAAATACCACCTCTGGCTGGCCCCAGAGTGGGGTGGGAATGGAGGTTTTGCAATATCCTTCCCCCTGGAGTGGGAAGGGAATGGGGATTTTGCAGTATCCTTCCCTTGCCATGCTCACCAAGCCACACCATGCCCACCAAGCCACACCCACAGAACCGGTAGTAAAAAAATTTGGATTTCACCACTGCGGAAGCTCCTCTCAAAATTGTGGTGCTGACCAGCAACAGTGAGCCGCAGCAGAGGGATGAAAGAACCACATGCGGCTCCAGAGCCACGGGTTGCTGACTCCCTTAATCTAGGTCAGGAGCCAGGGTCCAAAAGCATAGACGAAGATTCCGAAACTGCAAGAAAGGTACAAGGATTCGAGAGCAAGACTTACCGAGGGTCAAACTCTGCCAAAGTCTTGAGTGACTCAGGAGCGCGGATCAGCTTGTCCAGGATGCTAACAATATCCGTGAATTTAGGTCGCTGGCTTCTCTCTTGTTGCCAGCATCGCATCATCAGCTGGTAGATGGCAGAAGGACACTCCAGGGGGGCAGGGAGTCGAAAGCCCTCGTTAATTGCTTTCATTACCTATTTGGGGAAGGAAAATAGCAGTTGGGAGCCTGGAGAATCTACCCATCCGAGGAGACCATCCATCCACGCACGAAAAGCTCTTGACAGGGTCAACGGTCTGGCAACCTGCAGCCTTTCCAAAAGACAAGCGCTCAGATAAACCACCTAGCAAAACGGATGGTCAGGGAGCCCTCGCATCACATCCTCGTGGGAATTTCAAAACCCTTTCAACTAAATTGGAATAACAAGATCCACATTGATCATTTTCAGTCTTTTCGATAGATAAAATTGATCTGCGGAACGCTGTTTTGCCTTTTCAAACAGAGGCCGGTTCCCCCTGCAAATATCTACTTTCTGGACTTATCTTGATTTTTTGGTGTTAGTTTGCATCTTGTCTTTGAAGTCTTAAGATGGATTCTTTGAATACTTTAAAAAAGATAAAGGTTCCCCTCGCACATATGTGCTAGTCGTTCCCGACTTAGGCGGTGCTTATCTCTGTTTCAAAGCCGAACAGCCAGCGCTGTCCGAAGACGTCTCCGTGGTCATGTGGCCGGCATGACTCAACGTCAAAGGTGCACGGAAGGCTGTTCCCTTCCCACCAAAGGTGGTCCCTATTTTTCTACTTGCATTTTTTTTTTAACGTGCTTTCGAACTGCTAGGTTGGCAGAAGCTGGGACAAGTCACGGGAGCTCACCCCATTACGCGGCAGCACTAGGGATTCGAACCGCTGAACTGCCGACCTTTCGATCGACAAGCTCAGCGTCTTAGCCACTGAGCCACCACGTCCCTACTTGAATACTTAAGCTAGATAACTAAAATACACAATTAAAACTCAATGTTAACATAACAATCACGAATATAAAAACCTTTAAATGGTACAAAAGTATTTAAAAACTTGAGAGGCTACATTGGACAGGTGTCTCTTCATGCTCCTTCCATGGGACGACAACGGTTGGAAAATGGAACTAAAGGAGGGATTTCCTGCCTCTGAGGGCAGTGAACAACATCCTTGCTGGAGTTGTGGAGGAATCCGTCACTTGAGGGTTCCAAGAAAAGATTGCATAGCCATTTGCCTGGAATGGACTAGAACTGTGATGGTGAACCTATGGCTCGTGTGCCCAAAGTGGCACGTGAAGCCATGTCGCCCAGCACACGCAGCCTTGCTTATTTATCTTCCGGGTTCCTGGCGTGCATGCATGCTTGACAATCAGCTGCCCTTTGTGCATGCGGCAGTGCCAAAAACCGGTGTTGGCCAACTGGCCAGCTGATTGTCGGGTGTGCATGCACACCAGAACATGGAAGTTCGGCTTTTCCAGAGCACGATCACTTCGCGCGCATGGCAGTGCCGAAAACCGGTGTGTGCATGCGTGCCGGCCAGCTCATCATTCGGCACACATGTGTGCTAGAACCTGAAAGTTTGACTTTTCTGGAGCATGGTCCCGATGGGCATGCGCACGCAACGGCATTTCCGCGCAACCTTTTTGGCACTTGGTGCTGAAAAGGTTCGCCATCACTGGACCAGAAGATCTCTAAGGTCCCTTCCAGCCCCCGGATTCTAAAACAAATGCCTGGTGAAGATGAACTACAGTTCCCAAAGAAAAGCTCTTTTCTTCAGCTGGATAATAAAATGGGAAGACTCTTTCCTTTGTTCCTGACTGGATGTGGGCACCTCTTTTTCCACCGGCGGGAATGTCTTTAGGCCATTTTATAAGCAAGAGTGTTAGAAGGAGACGAGGGGCAACCGCAGGCATTGCCAACGCTAAATCCCACATCTGGCACCGGGGTCCCCAAGGGCCTACCTCATGATTGGAGAGCTCCCAGTATGGCCGATCACCATAGGACATCACTTCCCACATGACGATTCCGTAGCTCCAGACGTCACTGGCAGAAGTGAATTTGCGATGAGAGATGGCCTCAGGTGCCGTCCATCGGATGGGGATTTTCCCGCCCTGAGTGGGAGGAAAAGCAAACTTGCAAATCAAAAGCACTAATGCTGGAAGAACGCAAATCACCAAGCGTGTGTCACCTTCATACATAAATTATAATTTTATTTTAATTTTATAAATAACTAAGTGTCCTCTTCTGACTTCAAAGACCTTTAATACTTTTGGTTTTCTAAACATATCCCTACCCACTTAGGCTTCTGCTGGGATTCACGTATTTGCACTGTGGCACACTTGCTTTCATCATGATTTGTGAAACAAGGTGTAGGGGGCCCGGTTTTCGTACGACGACAAGCCATAAATCTTGCTTACAAACCAGAGTGACTGAGAGCTCTTTTTGGCAGATGATAATGAACAGAAATCAGTTCACCTGATTTCTGTTCACCTCCTTTCCTACCGCACAGCTCCCACTAGAGCCGTGATGGTGAACCTATGGCACGCATGCCACCTGTGCCATATTGGTGGGCACATGAGCTCAGCTCCGGTGCCAGATTTTCAGGCCTTCTGGGCCCACCGGAAGTCAGGAAACAGGCTGTTTCCGGTCTCCAGAGGGCCTCCGGGTGTGGGTGAGGAAGGCCTGTTTTCACTCTCCCCAGGCTTCAGAGTCTTTCTAGGAGCCTGGGGAGGGCGAAAACTGTCTTCCCCACCCCCCTGGAGACCCTCCGGAGGCCAGAAACGGCCCATTTGAAGTTGGCAAACAGGCTGTGTGTGTGGGGAAGGCCGTTTTCGTCTTCCCCAGGCTCCTAGAAAGCCTCTGGAGCCTGGGGAGGGTGAAAAATGGGCCTACCGGACCCACCATGCCATTGCATGCCAAAAGCGGGGGGAGCGCCCACACATGCGCAGGTGGGCCAGACGCATAGAATTATGGGTGTGGGCACACACGCGCATGAACCCCCCCGCGCTCCCCCCGCTTTTGGCACGCGATGGCAAAAAGGTTAGCCATCACTGCACTAGAGTCTGTGGAATAAGACAAATTCATCTGTTGACATCTTCCTTTTTAGATCCCTGTATCCCCCTCCTCCTCCTTTTCCAGATTCTCATTCAACCTAGCGATAGCTCCCTTACGTCATCCCTAGCTCTAGGCATTTTGCTTCAGCCATAGCCATCTCCCTGTTCTTCATAGTTATCTTGGTAATTCATCACCTAAGAGGGAAGACAGTCATCCAGGATCACTTACGCTGGTGGTATAAGTAGCATCGGGATCATCCTCCAGAACACGGGATAGACCAAAATCGGAGACTTTGCAGACCAGCTGGCTGTCCACGAGGATATTGCGAGCGGCCAGATCCCGATGGACGTAGTTCATGCTGGCCAAATATTTCATTCCGGAAGCGATTCCTCTCAACATGCCTACCAACTGGATGACACAAAACTCCCCGTCTTTTTCCTGTTGGATAAGAGAGTGGAAGAATTCAGAGCCACCATATTTTCAGCTAACCGACTTGATTTTAAACAGATGCTCGAGTCAGGCCCAGACACATCTCCAAGCCTTCTTCATTTTTGAGAATTTGAAAGGGTCGATTCACAAGGGAAGATCGGCTTCAGAGGTGGTATTCAGCCGGTTCAGACCAGTTCGGGCAAACTGGTAGTAGTGACCTGCGGGTGGGCCTGGGTGGGCCCACCACCCGGGCACAATCCCGTCCTATATCGCTGTGGTTTTGATGCTGCATACATGTGTGGATGGTGCATACGTGTCTATTCCCGTGTTGTTTGACATTGCATGCATGTGCACGCTCATTTCTGGTGCTGGGTGAACCGGTGGTGACAGAATGTGAAGCCCACTTCTGATTGGCTTCCCTTGCTTTACACGTGAGAAGAGGTTTGGAAGGGGAAAGGGTGTAGACCTACCCGCAGGAATTTATCCAGGGCACCGTTCTCCATGTATTCGGTGATGATCATGAAAGGTTTATCTGGAAAGAAAAGGAAAGGCTGACCGGTGAAACGTGCTAGGGCAAGGGTCAGCAACCTGTGGCTCCGGAGCCACATATGGCTCTTTGGGCCATCCGCTGTGGCTCCCTGTCAGGTGATCCCACCACTGGCTGACCCCACCCCTCACCCTCCCCTCCCAGTCACTCCTCGCCTGACCTGAGGAGGTAAGGGCGACGGTGGGGGATGGAGAAGCGGCCAGGGCAGAGACAGAGAGATACAGAGAGAGGGGGGGGGAGAGAGAGATGTCAAAAGGATTTTGTGGTTCCTGGTGTTTTTTAACAACCGATACTCTGCCCTAATGACCGGCTCGGTAGGCGTGGCTAGGGGGGTCATGTGACTGGTGGAAGTGAGTGACATCAAGATGGCCACGCCCACCCAGGTTTTGTGGCTCCTGGTGTTTTCTTTTCTGTGGGAAATGGGTCTAAATGGCTCTTTGAGTATTTAAGGTTGCAGACCCCTGTGCTAGGGGAAAGTGATGTCTTGGGGCCAGAAACCAAGACCCAAGCTAGGATTCTACCCGGCACTTACATTTGGAGACAACTCCTTCCAAATGAATGATGTTGTGGTGGCAGAATTGCCCCATGATGCTCGCCTCACTCAAAAAGTCAATGCGTTGTTTTTCGGTGTAACCGGATTTCAGCGTCTTTATGGCCACGGGGCTCTCCTTCTTCCCGCTTTTCAGAATTCCTTTGTAAACCTCACCAAATTCTCCTAACCAGAGGAAAAAACGGAGGTGTTGAAAGAATCGCTTTGAATAATTGGTGATGGAGTGGGAGATTAAATAAATGCAAACCACCTGGAAGAAACCCAACTAATTGCCCCAGGAGAAAGGAGCCACGTTCTCTTCCCTGCCCTGTTTGAGATGATTGGGATGCCATACCTGCTCCGATCACTTTATGTCGGGAAATGCTGGAAGGGTGGATCTCGGTGGTGAACTTCAGGACCGCCTGATTGGGGTCTTCGTAGGTGTGGGGATCCACATACGTCTTCAGGGGTTTGAGCTGATCTGCAGAGTCAAAGGATAAAAAATGGGAATGGCACGCCAAGGGAGCTCCCTGCTTTGGAGTGGAGAGAAACGCTGTTGCTCGCTCAGACCCAAACCCAGCCTCTCTCCGCGGTCTGCCTCTTTAGTGATTGGATGGAAATACGCAAGCATGTTTTTTTATTTTAAAAAAAATATGAAGAACGAACGTTCCTACTCAGGGCCCAAATGGATTACTGCAGTGATGGCGAACCTTTTCGGCACTGAGTGCGCGTCTGGGCTACAACCTGGAAGAGAAGCTGCCCAGGGCGCATGCGTGAAAATGAACTTCCGGTTTCAGCGGCTGAACTAATAACTTCCGGTTTCAGCGACTGAACTTCCGGTTTCAGCGGCTGAACTAATAACTTCTGGTTTCAGCTACTGAACTTCCGGTTTCAGCTACTGAATTAATGAACTTCTGGTTTCAGCTACTGAATTAATGAACTTCCAGTTTCAGCTACTGAACTTCTGGTTTCAGTTACTGAACTTCAGGTTTCAATTACTGAACTTCCAGTTTCAGCTCCTGAACTAATAACTTCCGGTTTCACCTCCTGAACTTCCGGATTCAGAGTTTCAACTACTCAACTTCCGGTTTCAGCTACTCAACTTCCGGTTTCAGCCAGCTACTCTTTCGGGTTTCTGGCACGCACACACGTGGGGCGATCAGCTGGCCAGCGCGCGTGCTCACGCAGGAAAACGGAAGACCACCTCTTCCAGTTTCTGGCACTGCCGTATGCAAAAAGGCCAGCTGATTGTTGTGCGCACATGCGCGCCAGAAACCCGGAAGAGGAACAGGCGACGCCGCGCGTGCCAGGCAACATGGTTCCACGTGCCACTTCGGGCACGCGTGCCATGGGTTCGCCATCACGGGATCACTGTATTTTGGATTCTTTCCAGCGACCTAGTTTTGTTCCATTTTCCTAGTGCAGCCATATAATCAAGCGACTTAATACTCACCAGATTTGGAAAAGTAAACATCTTCCGAAGTCTGTCTGGTCCGCAAATTCTTTTTCCTAAATGAAAATTTGAAGGGTTAACTGATAATTCCTGAAAGACGGCAGAGTCTTCAACTCCTCCCAAAGACACACACGCATCTCCCAACAGCTGGATTAAAGAAGCCTGTTTTGTATTGTAGTATTTCTCCTCTCCCATTGTTATTAAAACTTTGGAATAAGGAGGCTCAGACTTCAGCAGGAGGCCTGGGAGATGCTTATGGATCTCAGCTGCTGCATTGTTTCCTCTTCAGGTTCTCTCTTCTGCAGAAATGGCGCACTGGGCCTACTATTAATGTTCATTTTCTTGCAGGTTTAAAAAACTGGATGATACGCCTATCTCTAATTTAGCATGCTTTCTTCTTCTGTAATTTTTTTTTTTAAATGGGCAAACCCAAAAGAGATTAAATTGGCAGACATTTCTCAAAGGGCTAGATGTCCATCTAGATTGCAGAGTGCAGAGAAAAGCAACAAAGATGATTAGGGGACTGGAGGCTAAAACATATGAAGAACAGTTGCGGGAAGTGGTTTAACGAAAAGAAGGACTAGGGGAGACATGATAGCAGTCTTCCAATATCTCAGGGGCTGCCACAAAAAAGAGGGAGTCAAGCTATTCTCCAAAGCACCTGAGGGTAGGACAAGAAGCAATGGGTGGAAACTAACCAAGGAGAGAAGCAACTTCGAACTAAGGAGAAATTTCCTGACAGAACAATTAATCAGTGGAACAACTGGCCTCCAGAAGTTGTGAATGCTCCAACACTGGACAGTTTTTAAGAAGATGTTGGATAACCATTTCTCTGAAGTGGTGTAGGGTTTCCTGCCTAAGCAGGGGATTGGACTAGGAGACCTCAACTCTGTTATTCTAAATTCTAAAGATTCTTGGTCATCTGGATGGAATTCTACATTTCCTTTTGCTAACTCCCCCACCCCTACCCCTGTTCTCCCCACTCACCTCCTGCTTCACACACCCCTTACCTTTAAAGAAACTTCAGCAAAAAAAAAGTGTGTATGTGTGTGTGAAAAAAAAATAGTAAGTGCAGTTGCTGGAAAAAAAAGGTTGGAGTGAGGAAACTGAGACAGTTCGCCCACCGCCTGCACTCTTCTCTGGGCATAAGATTTGTATTGTTTCAATACCCACAGAGCCTGGGTGTTACAGTGGAGGCACATGGAGGGTAAAAATATGGGAAATGGGGCATTTTCAGCCCACCTAAACCTCCTCAAGTTCGAAAGAAACAGAATTTTAAAACAAATAACACCAACCTCTGTCGCATGAAGAGAAAAATCATCACGATGAGAGCAAGCATGAAGATGGAGCCAGCAATGGATCCTCCGAGGACCGCAGCAGTATTCACACCCTCTGGATCTATGGAGAGAAGAGTACTATAGGTAGTGGGGGAAGCCTTTTCTTTTCTTTTCTTTTCTTTTTTTTCTTTTCTTTTCTTTTCATCAAGTTATTATTTTTTTTAATTTATACAGATCATTGGGTGAATGGCGCAATGTTTGAGTAGCATACATTTCAATACATATAAACATGTTTCTAATTACTGCATTCCATTTTCCTTATTTCATATTATTTACGCCTACCTTTTACACAAAATTTTAATTTTCATATAAATATTAACTAGTATGCAGTAACATCTAAACCGATGTGCTTTAGCATCCATATTACCTTCCATTATAGTTTCAATAGTATAACCCTCAAGAAATATATATATATGAAATTGTCTGTTTTTTCTCCCGTACACCATATTTCACCCATTTTTACAACATCCCTCTCCTTTCCTCTTCTTTCTCCTCCCTCTCTTCCTTCCTCCCCTCTTCTTCTCTCTTCTTTCCTCCCCTCTTCTTCTCGCTCCTTCTCTCCTTTTCCTGTCCCCTCTCTATTTCCCCTCTCTTCTTCTCCACTTCTATCTCCTTTCCTTTCTACTCTTCTCCTCCCTTCCCTTCCCCTTCCCTCTCGCCTTTCCCCGGGGGGGGGGGAAACCTTTTTCAAAAGACAAGTTAACCAGGATAGGTGGTTCTCAAATGGTAACTCTGCCTCAATATTGCATTTATTTTCGCTGCCATCTCATTAATCCTAAGAGCTTCCTCTGCAAAAAAAAAGAGAAAGGAAGAAAAAGAAAGAGAGAAAGAGAAAGAGTAGAGTAGAGTAGAGTAGAGTAGAGTAGAGTAGAATAGAATAGAATAGAACAGAACAGAACAGAACAGAACAGAACAGAACAGAACAGAATTCTTTATTGTCCAAGTGTGATTGGACACACAAGGAATTTGTTTTTGGTGCATATGTTCTCAGTGTACATAAGGAGAATAAAATACATTCATCAAGAATACAAAGATACAACACTTAGTGACAGTCAAGGTTACTAATAAGCTATCAAATCGTACTAGGAAACAAATAAAAACAATATAAATTAAAGATACAAGCAACATGTTATAGTCATAGGTGGGAAGAGATAGGTACTAGTAAGGAAGATTAATAGTAGTGCAGACTTAGTGAATAGTTCAGGAAAAAACTGTCCTTGTGTCTAGTTGTTCTGGTGTGCAGTGCTCTATAGCATTGTTTTGAGGGTAGGAGTTGAAACAGTTTATGTCCAGGATGCGAGGGGTCTGTAAATATTTTCACAGCCCTCTTTTTGACTCGTGCAGTATATAGGTCCTCCATGGAAGGCAGGTTGGTAGCCATGGTTTTTTCTGCAGATCTAATTATCCTCTGAAGTCTGTGTCTGTCGGGTTGCAGAACTAAACCAGACAAAAACAGGAAGGAAGGAAAGAAAGAACGGAAAGGAAGAGAAAGAAAAAAAGAAAGAAAGAAAGAAAGAAAGAAAAAGGCAAGCAAACTCACTTTCAGGGAGCGTCTCAAACTCGTGCTCCATGCTGTGAGTGCCGTGGCCCTCCTGAGTCAGCGCCTGGACGCTCACCAGATACTTGGTCTTAGGAGTCAGCTTATGGAGGGTGACTGAGTTTCCTTCAGAGCGCAGGACGGAGTAACTGTTTTCATCCTTCTGTAACAACAACAAAGCAACAAAAATAAAAAATAAATAAAGCCCTCACGGCGCACTTTTCCTACTACAAAATACCAGCCCCACCCCCCGCCCACCAAAGGAAGTTGCAACGGTGGCGGAGAGTTATACCTTCTTCTTGTAAGTAACTTGGTATTTCCAAACGTGACTCTGTTGGCGAGGAGGGACGGTCCAAGATAACGTTAAGCTAGTAGTGGTGCGACTGTCCATAGTCACTGAAGTTACTCTTGGTGGTTCTGAACAAGGGGGAAGAGGAAGAGGATGAAGAAGGGCTGACAAAATCCGCATGTAGCCAGTTACGCTTTCCCCATAATTGCCTTTGCCAAATACGACGACATGAATTTACCTATCAACCCACGTTGGATTTACAGAATCAAAAGCCCGCTGCCCTAAGGGGACAACTTAGTTACTAGAGTGTTTCCCTAATGTTAAAAAGGATGCCCCAAATGAGAAACCTTTCTCCATTCTTGTAGCCATGATTAGAATTTGGAGAGAGGAGCCACAATGAACCCTGTCATAGAACTACCGTATTTTTCAGAGTATAAGACTCCTTTTTCCCCCCAAAAAGAGGGTGAAAATCTGGGTGTGTCTTATACTCCAAATGTAGCCCCGCCCAGCCTCTCAAATGGAGGATTCAGAGGCTGAAAAAAGCTTCAGAAAAGAAACCCTCAAACAGCTTCAGAAAAGAAACCTTCAAACAGAGCTTCAGGAAAAAAAAAAACCAAACAAAGCTTCAGAAAAGAAGCCTCCAAACAGAGCTTCAGAGGCTTTTTTTCTGAAGCTGTTTCGGAGGCTTTCAGAGGCAGAAAAAAAAAAACAAAAAAAAACAAGGCACAGAGCTCACAACCAAGGAACCTGTTGCTAAAATTCACCTCTGGGAACAGCTGATTGGGGATATTCCGGGGGAGGCGATCCACCTGCCAATCAGCGTTTTTCTTATTTTCCTCCCCAAAAACTAAGGTGCGTCTTATACTCCGAAAAATACGGTATTTTGATGTAGAACTAAACGATCGATAGAGTCTCACCAAATACCAAAGAATCAAAGAATATAATAGAATAACAGAGTTGGAAGGGACCTTGGAGGTCTTCTAGTCCAACCCCCTGCCTAGGCAGGAAACCCTACACTACTTCAGACAAATGGTTATCCAACATCTTCTTAAAAACTTCCAGTGTTGGAGCATTCACAACTTCTGGAGGCAAGTCCTTCCACTGATTAATTGTTTTAACTGTCAGGAAATTTCTCCTTAGTTCTAAGTTGCTTCTCTCCTTGATTAGTTTCCACCCATTGCTTCTTGTCCTACCCTACAAAGAACTGTAGCCTTTCTTAATTCCACCCAGGGGCCACGAACTGACAGCCCCGGCCAATTGGCATCTCACCGTATCCTTAGATCCTGTCCCTTTTAATCTGGTTACGATACCCGAGACCTTTACCTGTCTGATTGACGCTGATGCTAGTGACTCCGTAGCTGCGTTGGGTACTGAAGGAGGATACTCCATTATGAGCTTCTACGGTGAAAGTGTAATTCACGTGAGGCTCCAGATCACTAATCGTCAAAGACGTGCCGGTGAGTTTGTGCGGATTTTCTGAATATCGGAGAGTGGCGTCACAAGACCGGCAGTCCCCCGAGTCTGGCCAGCACTGTTCGCACGACACTCGGTAGGTGACATCTTGGCGTCCACCCGTGTTCTTAGGCGGTGACCAGCGCAGCTGGACTTTAGCACCCAGACCGATTGCTGTCACCCCCTGAGGAGCAGTAGGGGGCTCTGTCAGATAGGAGACAAAAAGAATAATTTAATTAAAAAAAAAAAAAGCATACCCAGATCTCTTGGATGCAAACCAGCAATTTAACTGATTTAACTGCACATTTTTCTCTCGGGTTCCATTGTGTATCTCTCTCTGCCCTTTATCTCCCGGTGCCTTTCCTTCCTCTTCTATTCTGCACTTCCTTAGATGGGATATGGACAAAGCAAAATTGTAAAAGCCAATCTTAAGGGTATTTTTTTTTAAAAAAAATTATTATTCCAGAATTGTTTCACTAAACAGAAGTCATAAAAGTGTAGGTCCCGCCGATCGGAGTGAAGAAATGTGTATTGCTCTCCTTTCCAAGATCTGATATACATTTGTATTGTCCAGCGCTTATCTCGGCTGCCTAGCCACAATCCCTCCCAAACACCAATTCTGTTTCTCACTTGCTTTTTTTAAAAAGTTTTTTTTTAATTTTATTTTTATATAAACAATCCATTTTCCATTAACCAGTGCGTGATGGCGGCGGGTGGTTTGGAGAACCGGTAGCAAATAACCTTGCCCCCAGCCCCCCCACAATGCCCAGGTGAGCCGCGCTATCATCAGAGGATTTTTTTTTCTCTTTTAAAAGCATTTTTTCTACAACCTCTTCGGCCAAAGAGGTTGTAGGGAAAAAAAATGCCTTTAAAAGCCTTTGGCAATCCCAGCTGAGTTGCCTGATTGTCAGAGGCTTCTCAAAGCATTTTTTTTCTGCAACCTCTTAAGGTTGTAGAAAAAATGCTTTTAAAAATAATAATAAAAAAAAAGTTGGCCACGCCCACCCAATCACATTACCCACCACCACCACCAAGCCACGCCCACAGAACCGGTAGTAACAAATTTTACATTTCACCACTGCACGTATGTATTTTAGCGCCTTTTTTTTTTCTTCTGCGCAAATCCACCACATATGATAGTACGAGCCCGGTGTCTGGTGGCATTTCCAACATTTAGCTGATTTGTCTCACTTACTTGTGCACGACATGGAAACCGGATCACTTGGAGCCCGGAAGTAGCCTTCCTCACATGGACACAAAGTGGAGCCTTCCGAAGAAGGCAGCGTGTGCGCGGGACACTTCGAGCAAGCGCTGTTGGAGACATCTTGTTTAAAGAATCCAGGCGAGCAAGCTGGAAGAAAAACATTTTTTTAAAAAAACTGCCATTTCAACCAGCATATTAAGCCAGGCTTGGCCAGTGAATATAGTTAGACCAGGGGTCAGCAACCTGTGGCTCTGGAGCCGCATGCGGCTCTTTCACCCCTCTGCTGCAGCTCCCTGTCACTCAAAATAGGCGTCACAACCCGCCAATGTGCGACACCTGCCGGCATGCCATTTATTGAGCTTTTCAACCCCCCCTGGTAGGTCAACCATGGATAAATCCAAGAAAAGAAAAGTTTCAGAAGAAAACGGAACGTTTAATTCAACTACATATGCTAGTTTTGTGGCCGCTCAAGAAATGGCCAGGCATGGGAAAGGTTTTGTGGCTCCCGGTGTTTTCTTTTCTGTGGGGAAACGAGTCCAAATGGCTCTTTGAGTGTTTAAGGTTGCAGACCCCTGAGTTAGACAGAATCGGCTACAATCGAACGCAGAGACACATGGATTGATAGAGGATTGTGAACAAAATCATTTTCTTGGTCTTGAGTCTCCACCTCTAAACTGGGAATGAATGTATTATTACAAGCGCCCGAAATAAAAACACGTCCAAGAGAGAGCACTTGGGTGCTTTCAAAATGAAGCAGTGCTGGCCCTGAAGTTTTGAAAAAAAAACACAGCTTCACCTCGAAACCGAGGCGAGGCGGGAAGGGCACCGCCCAACTTGAAGTGGGTGAGATCAGAGCATCTGCCTGATGCCATTTTGCTTTTTATAGCATCACTTGCTGATATCGGCAGATTTTGAAAGTAGAACATTGTTGTCATTATGTTGGCAGGACAGGGCTGCAGAGAAAATACCATTCAGCTTAAGAGTATTAATTTCCTGGCCAACTACATACTTCATATTTACTTCCTGGACAACTACAGCCTCCCGTCGGAAACAGCTTTGCTCTCTGGGTGTCCCGGGGAATTGAGTCACTTCCGGTATGAATCGGTAGAAGTCGAGACTTTGGAAACTCTTGTTTGAGCTTCTCTCTCGCCGGCCACTACCTCTTGCCCTCAGGACTGCAGTCGCTGGGGAGGGGGGGAGAGGCTTCTGGAGAAAAGCCCCTCTACCTGAGAGACCGTGAAGGCCATTCTGAAGATCACTGAAATTGGTCTTTCCCATCTCCTACCTCTTCTATCATATCTCAAGATCTAAAATGGACCCCTAACATCAAAAATGTCATCAAAAAAGCACAACAAAGAATGTTCTTTCTGCACCAACTCAGGAAGCTCAAACTGCCCCAGGAGTTCCTGATCCAGTTCTACAGAGGAATTATTGAGTCTGTCATCTGCACCCCCATAACTGTCTGGTTTGGCTCTGCAACCCAACAAGACAGACAGAGACTTCGGAGGATCATTAGAACTGCAGAAAAAACAATTGCTACCAATCTGCCTTCCATGGTGGACCTGTATACTGCACGAGTCAAAAAGAGGGCTGGGAAAATATTTACAGACCCCTCGCATCCTGGACATAAATTATTTCAATTCCTACCCTCAAAACGACACTCTAGAGCACTGCACACCAGAACAACTAGACACAAGAACAGTTTTTTCCCGAACGCCATCACTCTGTTCAACAAATAATCCCCTCAACACTGTCAAACTATTCACTAAGTCTGCATTACTATTACTATTAGTCTTCTCACCCATCTCCTCCCACTTATGACTGTATGACTGTAATGTTGCCGTATCCTTACGATTTATATTGATTGTTTCCTAGTATGATTTGACTGCTTATTTGTACCCCATGACTATCATTAAGTATTGTACCTTATGATTCTTGATGAATGTATTTTATTCTCCTTATGTACACTGAGAGCATATGCACCAAAGACAAATTCCTTGGGTGTCCAATCACACTTGACCAATTAAAGAATCCTTCTTCTTCTTAGGAAGAAGCTTGGACAGTGTGATTGGGGTGGTGGTGCAGCTTTTATGAGATTCCGAGCACATCAAGTGCTGAGGAGTGGGAAGAAAAGACATACACGGGCTTCCCTAGCAGGTTTTTACGAGAAGGAACTCTGGGGCTACTCTTGCATGGCTGCACCGGTTCCTTCTGTCCTGCTGGAATTGGGCCCTTAGAGTAAGTGGGGAAGCCCTTTGATGACGGATGCTGCTCTAGGCCCCTAGGACTCCCCAGATTCAAGTCCCCGCTCAACCAGGAAGGATCACCAAGTGGATTTAGGGCAGTTTGGCATTCGTGTATTTCTTGTGAGATTCAAGTGAGTAGAAAGAAAAAAGTAGAGAGTAGTATGGAGTAGAGAGTTGGTCTCTGACCGAAAACTACTTGAAGAAACTAGAATCTTTTGAAATGTGGATTTATAGATGGCTGCTACATATAAGCTAGGTTTTTTTTTTTTTTTTGTTTTTTTTAAAATTTGATTTATATGCCGCCCTTCTCCGGAGACTCAGGGCAGCCTTCAATGCGTTAAGCAATAGCCTTCATACTTTTGTATATTCATACAAAGTCAGCTTATTGCCCCCACAAACTGGGTCCTCATTTAACCTACCTTAGAAAGGACGGAAGGCTGAGTCAACCTTGAGCCTGGCAAGATTCGAACCTGCAGTAATTTCAGGCAGCTGTGTTAACAGGATGCTTTAGACCACTGTGCTACCAAGGTTAACAAAATGAGGAGGGGATAAGCCGCCTGGGAAAGCCAAGGGAAAATCATCAAAGCCATTAAAAAGGGAAAGTTAGAATATTTCGGATATGTGATGCAACACCCAGAAAAATACGGCATCCTTCACTTAATCCTCCTAGGAAAGATTGAAGGCAAATGAGGTCCAGGCAGAAGAACATCATCATGGCTTCAAAACCTAAAGGACCGGTTTGGACAAATCACAGCAGCACTTTTTCACACGCGGCTGTTGACAAAAATAGGATCATCAACATGATCGCCAACGTCCGATGACGGATATGGCACAAAAAAGAAGAAAGAAAAAAGGTAGCATGGATAACTGAGGCCCCAAATAACATTCTACATCCCCTTGGTCAAATAATAAATCTTCAGCTTTGTCGATTCAATCTCTTAAAACTCTTTCTGCGTTTCTAAACTTCTACCTAGACTGGAACTTTTATTACCGTACAAAGACTGAATCCAAGCAAACAATAGAGATTACAGGTTGAATAGAAGAAAAGACAGCCTCAGTTTCTCCAGAAACAACACTGCCGCTCCAAAGTTCAGCCTGTTACTTTGCGTGTGGTCCCTTTTCAGTCTGCAGAGAAACAAAGAGGCGGCAGTAAACCTGCCCCCATAAATGGGCAGGAGGGAAGGGGTGGTGCCCAGAGCCCTTCTTCCCTCAAGGAGGAGCAGAGTGTACCGGGCAGAGCTGAGATGGTGGGGCCTTATGGAGATGGAGAACGGTACAGGCAAGGCTGAAGATGCTACCGAGATCTTGGAATGCATGTTTTTTATATACAGTGTGACTGTTTACCCCTTATTGTTTCCTTCACCCCCCAACATGGAAATTTAGGCAGCTCCCATTGAAATGAGTTGCAGATGGGCAGTTGTTGACAGTATAGGTTCTCCTGCATGAGCAGGGGGCTGGACTAGAAGACCTCCAAGGTCCCTTCCAGCTTTGTTCTAAGATTCTAAGCTGCTCAGAAAATAGCCAGAGAGTATTTCCATCATTCTGTAAATTTTCAGTGCAGTACATTGTCATCTCTAGGACTCAGACCAGGGGTGCTATTCAGCAGGTTCTGGAGAACCGGTGGCGGAAATTTTTAGTAGTTCGGAGAACCAGCAAATTCCACCTCTGGCTGGCCCCAGAGTGGGGTGGGAATGGAGATTTTTGCAATATCCTTCCCCCCAGGAGTGGAGAGGGAATGGGGATTTTGCAGTATCCTTCCCCTGCCACGCCCACCAAGCCATGCCCACAGAACCGGTAGTAAAAAAATTTGAATTCCACCACTATCTCAGACCCTTGGATCATCTTAGTCAACGTTGACTTGTAGCTTTTTCATGCCAGGGATGGAATTTGAGGGTATCTTTCATGCAAATTATCTGTTATCAAACAAAAACTCAACACTGTTACGATTGGCCCATCTTAATGGGTGAGAAGAGCTGGTATACTAGTATATTTCAGTTTTAGGATTTTTTTTTTTTTTAAAAGAATATCCAGTTGCAGCTATTATTTTATCAGAGATGGTCCAGTAAAGCAAGGAGGAAAACACGTGCTACAGAAAGTCTACTCAGAATGACAATTTACTAGGTGTCTATGGCAGTGGTAATTTTTTTTACTGCCGGTTCTGTGGGCGTGGCTTGGTGGGCGTGATGTGGCTTGGCGGGCGTGGCAGGAGAACGATACTGCAAAATCTCCACTCTCACCCCACTCCAGGAGAAGGATACTGCAAAATCCCCATTCCCACCTTACTCTGCGGCCAGCCAGAGGTGGTATTTGCCAGTTCTCTGAACTGCTCAAAAATTCCGCTACCAGTTTTCCGAACTACTCAAAATTTCCGCTACCGGTTCTCCGAACTGCTCAAAAATTCCGCTACCAGAGCCTGCTGGATTTCACCCCCGGTGAAAAATGGGAAAAAGCACCTTTGGGACAATTTACTAGGATTTGCGGCAAGTGCAACATAGGTACTTAGGATTTGTTGATGTTCCTAGAAGCGTCTATGGCACATCCTCGAATCACGAACCCAAAGGGCAAATGTGTGTGTCTTTTTAACCGTAACGGTGGGCAAAAAACTGGCCAGAGGGCCCAGCTTTTGTCTGGACCTGTGCAGCAGCAAAGCGGAGTTTGGCACAGGGCGAAGCATTCTGGGCGCATCTTAAAACTGGAATAGGGCCACCCTCTTCCACCCCCACCTTAGCGAAGACTTCTCTCTGTGCCTTGGGGGCCAAAGGGGGGCCATGTGCAATTAGAAGGCATGTTGAGGCCTTGCCTTGGGCTTCCCAGGCAGGTGTGCCAGCAGCTGCTTCCTTGGTATTAACTGGGAGTGGCGGTTATAATGGATAGTCAGGATGTTGCTGAACTGACTGCGACCGTACGTTATCGTCTGCGGAGTCTTTCAGCGGTATAGATCTCCTAAAAACTCTTACTCAGAATGCAAGCTGTCTGTTCCAGCCACTCCACCCTTGGATTGGTCAGAATTCAAAATTTGTATTTTAACATTCAAGAGGGAGATTCACGCAACGCCAATCACAGGTCTAAAGCTTCGCTTATTGTATTGATTATTCCTCTATTGCCTGCTATGTGACATCATAGCCGAACTGAAATCCAGTGAAACAATTCTAATATCTGAATTAAATTAGCAGGTAGGTAGAGCTACCAAATGAGGCTACCAAAATCTGGATGGTTGCAAACAGCAGCCAAGGAATATAGAAAAGGCCAGCCATAGTCTACAGCCCAGATCTTGTAGGAGTAGTGGAGGTAAACTCCAAACCAGGGGTCTGCAACCTTAAGCACTCAAAGAGCCATTTGGACCCGTTTCCCACAGAAAAGAAAACACCGGGAGCCACCAAACCCTTCCCGTGCCTGACTATTTTTTGAGCAGCCACAAAACTAGCAAAGAGGAAGGTGTGCCAGCCTGTTGGAGAGAGAGGGAGGTGGGCGAGGGGAAGACTAAGTTCCTTTTCCTCAATTCTTCAAAGCTGTTCGCAAAGAACTATCTAAAATACTGATATGGTTAGAGGAAATGCTACAGCAACGAACAGAGCTAAGACCAGAATTATTCTTATTGGGAATACTACCAGAGAAATATAGTAAATAAGATATATATTTGATTATTCACAAAATAACAGTAGCTAGAATAGTTTTTGCAAAAAACTGGAAAGCAGACAAAATCCCATCAGAAGGAGATATAATAAAGAAAATTTTAGAATGTGTAGAAATGAATAGATTAACATTGAGAATAGAAGATAAAGAGGAATCTGTATTTCAAGACATGGGAAAATTTTAATGATTGGTTAGAAAAGAAATATAAATAAAGATAGAGTGAGGAAGTGGATAGGGAAAAGACAAATAAGAGAAAAGACAATAAAAAGAATAGAAACTCAGATGACGCCTGGGTAAATGGAAAAGGGGGAAGGGGAGGAAAGAGAAAAAGTGTTAGTATAAAAGTACATGAATGATAAAATAGATGTAATTATTAAACAAAAAATAATTTGAAATGAAGATATATATAAATAGAAAATTGGGGCTGCTCGAGTACCATTCTAGAAGAAAATATCACCAAAAAAGGGACGTCATGACGTCCGCGCAGGTGGGCGGAGACTTCCACAGCTGCCACTGCTACCAGTTCTCCCTGAGCCGGAGAGAACCGGCTGAATTTCACCCTTGGCTGTGGGTGAAATTTATGCATCATGCATCCATCCAGAGCAGGCTCCTGGATAGGATGGAGGGCCCAGATGGGACATTTAGAGGAGGAGTGGCTCTTGAAGGAGCGCTCAAGCAGGCACATTGCTGTGCAGTCTTCTCCTTTTGCAGGAGCTGCGAGAGAACGGGTTTTGAGGGGAAAGTATCACATCCCCTTCTACATGACCACGGACTGTGAGAACTTGCTGAAACCCTAGCAAGAGAGGCACTTTAGAGGTGAGGCACCTGGAAGTGGGCCTTGAGGAAACGCAAATAAAATCTGGTGTGTCATTTCCCCTCCCCTTTGGAATTTCCTTGGGAAGGATCTCCCCCCCCACAAAGGATCCTTTGAGATCAAGAAAGGAAAACATTTGTAGCTCAGAGCTGAAATGAGGGCTCCTTGGTACTCTCTGAGCTCGGTGGTTTCCTTGCAGACGTTTCAAGACCCAACTAGGCATCCTCATCAGTGCTAGAACGGAAGAAGGATTTACCCTCTGCAAGCAAGTTGGGCTTAAAGGGAAGCTTTGGCCTAGCCACTTCGGAGGGCACCCGAGTTCCAATAAGACTGGCTTAAAAACCCAGGACCGCCTCCACATTTGGGCCCTGGCGACACTGGTTATCAGGGGCCAAACGGGACTGGTGTCAGGCGGGAGAGAAGTATGATAATGGCTTATCAGATAAGCCCCATAGCGAACAGGAAAAGAAGGGGGGGGGAGTCTGTTGGAAAGTCTGTGTGTGCTCAAGAGGGCTCTGTAACCTTGAGAGAGCTCCGTATCTCTCTCCAAACTCCAGGCACATTCCTGAAGCACAATCTGCTTGTCTCAGCCTCCTTGTGCGCCTAGGCACCTCCTCCCTGCTTAGGGACTAGGCTTGCTTTATACAACATACTGGCTGGAACATTCTACCTATCGAAGGAAGGAGACATCAACTGGCTTTGTCAGGCCCCGTGATTGAATCCTAACCTAAGAGAGATTGGGTCTGCCTGCCAATGTGAAACGCAGAGGGGAAGGTAGCACAGACAGAGTGGAGCTGCGCAGCTTCTGCACGGCACCCAGCCGTAGCTTCTGAAGCATGGGGGGAAAAAAACCCCATCCTGTCAGAAGGCCTCACTGGCTCTGCCAGGTGCCTGCACGATCTGAGGTCTCCCTGCCATCCGGCTGTTCTTCTTGTCGAGCAGGAACTAAGTGAGAGACGGCACACCCCAGCCAGGAGACAGAGGGTGTCTCTCTAGGGAGGGAGCTCGGCGGGAAGGGATCGGCTGGTTCTCCAGCGGTTCCTGGAGGGCCGAAGCACACCTGCTCGGCTTCCCACACCGCACCTGGGGAGGGGCCGCAAGGGAGCCCCGTGCTTCCTCTCCTGCCAGGCATCCAGCTGCAAACGCTTCCCGATGGTCAGTTCCAAGGCCAGGCTCTGTCCTGGAGCCCCCTTATTTCACCCCAGGAAAGGCAAAGCCATGGCATATCCCCCCTCCTTGGATATTAGATGCTCTCCCAGAATAAGGGGCTAGGTCAGGGGTCTGCTACCTTAAACACTCAAAGAGTGGGGCACTTGCATTGCATTTTGTGGATCCGGACACACGTTCATGCATTTGCACACGTGTGTGCACGCTTTTGGCACTCGGCACCAAAAAAGTTAAAACATCACTGTCCTAGAATCGGCCCGTTGCTTCGCTTTCATAGAAGCCGGAACTGACTTCATTTCCCCTCCTCAACTTTTTAAAATGGTTGTTTATTGAGTGGCTGGCAGGCTAGAAATTCAGTCAACGAAGCCGGAGGGAGCGTCGCGGTTGACTTACCTCTGCAGCTGTCCCCGTCTTTTTCGTACCCTTCTCGGCAAAGGCACTCGCCAATAGGCACCAGCCACTCTCCGTCTGAGTTGCAGTGCATGAAGGGTTCCTCGGTGGCCACGGCCTCTGCAACACAAGTGCCAGGTACCTTGGCCAGGACTTGCGAATCGGCCCCGGCAATGGTTTCCGGGAAGCTGGCCATATTGCGGAAGACGCCGGGACACTTCTTGTAGTAGATTCGGACGGAGAGCAGTGCCACGCAGGCTCCGATGTCCTGGAAGGCCACGTAGAAGCCCTTCCGGGTGAGGGGCCCGACCGATCGCACCTCCACGTTGATCTTCACGTTGCGGGTGGTGAAGTCTTCCAACAAGGTGATCTCGTCGGGGGCGATCGTGGCAATCTTTTGGAACTGGCGCTTCTGGAAATTGATGCCGTAGTCGACGTCCGACTCCGCGTAGAAGAGGTTGAAAGTCTCCTTGCAGGTGCCTGTCCCAGGGGAAAAGGTGTTGCAATCCCGGACGGTGAATTGGATTTCAATGAAGATACGCTGGGCTTCCCCTCGGTAGATCCAGTTGGTCCTCAGCCAGTTATCCTGATCGCCTTCCTGCACGTTGCAGACTGAGTAAATGTAGATGAGGGATTCGTTCATGACGTTCTGAAGAAGATCCCACTGGTGGAGGGAGGGAGGGAGAAGACATCAAGGTGTTGCTTTTAACACAGTCCACAGCCACAAAACTCCTCGGTCTGGGCTGTCACAGCCAATTCTAATAATAAATCTCCTAATCTACATCCATCTAATCTCACATTGTCAACTGTGGCTAGGTAAAGGTAAAAATTTCCCTTGCACATATGTGCTAGTTGTTCCCGACTCTAGGGGGCAGTGCTCATCTCCGTTTCAAAGCCGAAGAGCCAGCACTGTCCGAAGACATCTCCGTGGTTATGTGGCCGGCATGACTCAACGCTAAAGGCGCACGGAAGGCTGTTACCTTCCCACCAAAGGTGGTCCCTATTTTTCTACTTGCCTTTTTTACGTGCTTTCAAACCGCTAGGTTGGCAGAAGCTGGGACAAATCACGGGAGCTCACCCCGTTATACGGCACTAGGGATTTGAACCGCTGAACTGCCAACCTTTCTGATTGACAAGCTCAGCGTCTTAGCCGCGTCCCTTTGGTTAATGACAACAAAGAACCTAGATGGATTTCCCTGGCTTTCTTAAGTTTAGAGCTGTGCTTCCCAGAACTATTTCATTTTGGTCTCTTTTTTCCCATTTGCCCATCCTTTCAAAACCCAATTAGTTTAGCAGTATCCTATAATTGTACTCTTTTAATCCGATGGAGAAATCTTTTTTCAGTTCAACCTTCTTCACCCTGCTAATGTTACTCTCCATCTAGACCCTGCAGTGAAAGGGTTATTTCTTTTTTTTTTTTTTTAACTTTTTCAGTTTTCTTATACACATAACATAAAATGTACATTTTCTTATACATAATTAATCCTACATATACATGTTTTCCTTAAAGAAAGCATTAAAATAAGGCATTTTAATTTACATTCGGAGTTGCTCTTCTACCCTTTTCTTCCCTCATTTCGCAACAACCCTTCTTCTTCTCCTCTTTCCTTTCCCTCCCTCCTCTCTCTCCTACTTTCTCCTTCCTCCTCTCCTACCTCATCCTACTTCCCGGAAGTGTCTCTGTTGCCCCCAGAGGAGTATTTGTTCCCTTTTTAAAACATGAAAACAAATATTTTAAGCAGAAGCTTGTTATGCTTTCCGCCCTCCAAAAATCGAGTTAACGCTGAAAGCAAGCTTTTTTTTCCTAGACCATTTTGCAAGAAAGAGCTGGAACTTACCCCTTTTCCATAGGGATGATTGAGCCATCCGAGATCCCCCTGAGCCTTGGCAAAATCCAGCAGGACGACTAGAAGAAAAAGGAAACGTGCGCCTTTTAAAAGATGCCTTTTAGACAGTATCACCTGAGCCCCATAAGCCCTTCAAACTGTGGGAAAATAATAGGAAATCTTTAAAGCTCTAAAAATGCACCCAAGAGCTCAGGTTGGAGAAAGACGATTTTTACAGCTGCAGCTTTCCTCTGGCACAGCAGGGCAGCACAGAAAAAGTCCTGGCAGACAACCTCCAAACCTATCACCTTCCCTTGCCCCGAGAGAAGTGAAGCTCCGTCCCCCCAAGGAGGAACTGAGGATGGCTTGGGCAGGAGCAGGGAGATGCAAAGACTTAAAACCTCCAGATCAGGGGTGAAATGCTCCCAGTAGTGATGGCGACCGGTAGTTCGGAGAACCGGTAGCGATGGCAGCGCGAGGCTCCGCCCATCGACCCGGTCGTCATTAATTCCTGGATTTAACCAGGAAGTAACCTGTTTTTTTAGCCTCTGCGCATGCACAGAAGGGTTTACATATGCGCAAAGGGTCCAAGCACACGTGCACTTCCAAACCGGTTGGGAATGTAAGTAGATTTCACCCCTGCTCCAGGTAGGTTCTTAAGTAAAGAGCATTGAATGCCATTTGCTCTTCCGAACAGATGCCCCTTAACTATTAAGGGAGGCAGGTGTTGTGCCAGCGGCTAATCCCTGGGAGCAGAATGCTCAATAGGAAAAGGTTAATTTTCTCCCCGAGTCACCTATTTCTATGCATGCGCTTGCCACATCAGGTCAGTGGCTATGCCCACAGGATTCACCGTATTTTTCGGATTATAAGACACACCGGACCATATGACGCACCTAGGTTTAGAGAAGGAAAACAAGGGGGGGGGGAGTTTTTGGCCTCCGCGCGTCCCGTTTTTAGCCTCCCCGACGCCAGGGAAGCTGAAACGCCAGGGCAAAAACGGGACCTCCGGAGGCCAAAAACGGGCCCATTTTTGGCCTGCAGAGTGCTTCTGGACGCTGGGGAGGGCAAAAACAGGACGTGCACAGGGTTTGGGAGACCAAAAATGGGCCCATATTTGCTCTATAAGACGCACAGACATTTCCACCCACTTTTTTGGGGGGCGGGGAATAGAATAGAATAGGGATAGGGATAGGGATAGGGATAGGGATAGGATAGGATAGGATAGGATAGGATAGGATAGGATAGGATAGGATAGGATAGGATAGGATAGAATAGAATAGAATACAATAGAATACAATAGAATAGAATAGAATAGAAGTTTATTGGCCCAGTGTGATTGGACACCCAAGTAAGATTGAGAACACAATGGAGCAAGTGGAAGGGGTCTCTTAATCTCCTGGCGGCGGCTGTGTAGAGTCCTAAGGGGAGCAATTAATGCTAACCATCCAACAGAGGAGAGCTTAGTTAGAGGAGAGCCAGCAAAAGGAATCCTTCAATAACAAAACGTTCTTAAAATATTCCAACGTAAAATGAGCAACAACGTTCGGTTAGAACAAGGGTCAGCAACCCGCAGCTCTGGAGCCGCATGTGGCTCTTTCACTCCTTTGCTGCGGCTCCGTGACACAAAATATGCCTCACAACTGCCAGTGTGCGACACCCGCTGGCATGCAATTTATTGAGCTTTTCGACCCCCGGTAGGCCAACCATAGATAAATCCAAGAGAAGAAAAGCTTCAGAAGAAAACAGAACGTTTAATTCAACTACGTAGGCTAGTTTTGTGGCTGCTCAGGAAATAGTCAGGCACGAGAAGAGTTTTGTGGCTCCTGGTGTTTTCTTTTCTGTGGGAAATGGGTCCAAATGGTTCTCTGAGTGTTTAAGGTTGCCGACCCCTGGGTTAGAATATGCTGGAAGTCTGGCTTATATAAGTGAGGCACCCTGGGAAAATCCTAGAAGCAGAGTTGTTGCCTGTAGAATAAGATTCCATCCCCTCTGTCGGGACAAAGAGGGAGGGGCATGTTTTCCCCCCTCTGGGGTTGCAAAAACAAAACAAAACTGATCTTAGGGAAAAGAGAACTATTTGGAATGATTTTCATCTATGATCAAAATTTTTCAGAACGTCCGACATCTATTTCAGCTTAGAACACATTTTAGTCCGAAACCCACTGTACGCTGTCACTCACACCTGTGTGCACAATAATAGTAGCTATTCTCCTTCTCGTTGTGCGGTGCAAAACATACTTGTTTAAACAACCCTGGTGCGGCTTGAAATGTTTAGATTGTGTGTATGTTTTCCTCCCAAGAATGTCCGGGGGGAGGGGGGGCAGTCAGTTTAAAGTTTAAATAAATCTTTCCGAGCTTAGTCTCAAGTCCCTCCATTGTGCAACCCTTTAAGAAATCCCTACCTACTTTTAAGATCCAAGAAAAAGTGGCTGCCCGTGGGATGAGCATGCTTTGAGATTTGTTATCGCAGCCTCATGGCGTGAAATCAAAAACAAGAACCAAAAAACCAGAGCAAGTTTCCTATGAGCTGAAAAGACCTGGCCAGAAGAGTTAGTCTGTCTTTCTTTCTTTCTTTCTTTCTTTCTTTCTTTCTTTCTTTCTTTCTTTCTTTCTTTCTTTCTTTCTTTCTTTCTTTCTCTTTCTCTTTCCTTCCTTCCTTCCTTACTTACTTCCTTCCTTCCTTCCTTCCCTCTCTCTCTCTCTCTCTCTCTCTCCTTCCTTCCTTCCCTTCCTTCCTTCTTCCCTTCCTTTCTCTTCCCTTCCCTTCCCTTCCCTTCCCTTTCCCTTCCTTTCCTTTCCTTTCCTTTCCTTTCCTTTCTCTCTCTTTCCTGTTCTTGTGTCTAGTTGTCTTGATGTGCAGTGTCCTATAGCGTCATTTTGAGGGTAGGAGTTGAAACAATTTATGTCCAGCATGTGAGGGGGTCTGTAAATATTTTCACAACCCTCTTTTTGACTCGTGCAGTAGACAGATTCTCAATGGAAGGCAGGTTGGTAGTAATTGTTTTTTCTGCAGTTCCAATTATCCTCTGAAGTCTGTGTCTGTCTTGTTGGGTTGCAGAACCAAACCAGACAGTTACAGAGGTGCATGAAATACATTTTGCAGTAACTGCTCTGAACCTTCATTCCCCACCTGTCCCAAGATCCGAGCCATGGAGTATCCTGTTCCCTGTGACTCTTTCCTCTCCTCTACGGGCTCCTGGCAGCAGAGGGGGCCCTTGGAAGAGCCAAAGGCGGTTTAATTCTGGCTTGCCGCCATGTTACCTTGATATGTGTCATCTTCGAATCTTTGCTTTTTGACCCGAGCGCTGGGAGAGTCTTGGGAGAGACAAAAGGTGACTAAGCCGATTGTCAGGGGTATAGAAGGTGAGGCTTTGCGTGCATTAAAAGTCTCTTCCGTATCACAGACCGCCCAAGGGACACTTCCTCGTCTAAGAACGAGGCTGCTGCACGTTTCAAAAAAGGGGTGCCGCGCCGCGCCCCGCAGCAGGTGGACATCCGACCCAGTGGTGAAATCCTCCGCGGTTTGCCACAAGTTCGCTGCCCGGGCATGCTTTCCTACTTTCTAGCGAATATAAATCATGCAGCACAGCTGATCGTTGGAAATACAGCTGATCATTGGAAATACAGCTGATTGTTGGAAATCGCACGGCACAGCTGATCGTTGGGACCAACTGGTAGCTTGTTTTTTTTTTTTACTACTGGTTCGCCCTCCCAGTAGCCCTATGGGAGGTTGAGCAGCCTCCACGAGGGAGCCAGTGAGAGACACCCTGTGAACTTTTGGGTCAGTCAGGCCTGGGCTTCAATCCACCCCACCTTCCAGCCCCCCACCTTCAAACTAGCTCTGTATGTTGGTTTCAATTCCTGACCCTCGTATAAATCAGGGAGAGGAGCTTAAGAAATCACAGTCTCCTTCCCAGAGTGCCTGTAAGCAACATCTGGAACAGCTTTTCTTTCCCACCAACTTCCAGAGTTAATTTTAAACTTCACCCTCTTCTTACAAGCGTGCAGATTTTTTTTTTTTTTAAACTGCCTGTTTTTCAATTCCATGCAAAGCTGGGGCGGGAGGAGGGGGGGCGGGAGAGCCCACAATTCCACGCCTGGCTAAGGATTCATTGCAAAGCGGTTCAGAGGAATTTGCCCGTCAGTGACACTGGGGATGAATTGCAGTGGAGCCTGACAACGGTGAAACCTCAAATCAAAAGTCTTGGCTTTTAAAGAACCTCTAGATTTTTATTTTTATTTTTTGCATGATTTGAATAATACCGCAACACCGGCCAAGCCAAAACAACGTTGATGCCCTAAGAGGGAGTTCTTCTGCGCACATGCAGAAGGCCCCCCAAGAAAAAAAACCCCCCCCCACCCCCACCCCCACCCACCACCCACCCCAGAGATTAGGGAGACTCAAGGAAGCTGCCATTCTGGCAGCCTCATCTGAACAAATGCAACCGAGGTGGACATTTTTCAACAATTTGCCACAATCAGCCGAGTTTACAGAATTGGCGGGATTCGAATTCAAGCCACAAGGGGTCAGAAAGACTTGTTTTGAAAAAGAAAGAAAGAAAGAAAAAGAAAGAAAATCTCTGGAGTTCCTGGGTTTAAAGGTGAATGTAAAGGTTCCCTTTGCACATGTGTGCTAGTCGTTCCTGACTCTAGGGGGCGGTGCTCATCTCCGTTTCAAAGCCGAAGAGCCAGCACTGTCCGAAGACGTCTCCGTGGTCATGTGGCCGGCGTGACTCAATGCCAAAGGTGCACGGAACGCTGTTCCCTTCCCACCAAAGGTGGTCCCTATTTTACTACCTGAATTTTTTTCTTTTACGTGCTTTCGAACTGCTAAGTTGGCAGAAGCTGGGACAAGTCACGGGAGCTCACCCCGTTATGCGGCCGCAAGGATTCGAACTGCTGAACTGCCGACCTTTCGATCGACGAGCTCAGGGTCTTAGCCTCTGAGCCACCGCGTCCCTGGGTTTAAGGCACGGCAAATGTCTGTGATAATCACAGCCAGTTTCCACAACTCTAAAGGAAACCAGCAAGTCCCAAGGCAAGGAAGCAGCGTTCCATACATCCATAAATTCCAGAA